GAGGGCCTTCATAGACAGGGTCCTGGCTGTGTAAATGAGGGCCTGCTCAGAGGCCAGGCTAGAGGGAGGAACAGGGGGTGAGGTGGTGGTGCTTAGGCATGAACTTGGGAGCAGGTGAGATCAGCTGGTCCTAGGATGATGTTAGAAGAGCTTAAGGAAAGGAGGCTCAGGTCCCAGATCAGACTGACGGAGGAGGTTTCTGCTGTGCTTCCATACCTGGAGCATCAGCTTCTCTCTGGCAGCCCCTACCTGCCCCATGGTGATCCCTGAGCTGCATTCACTTTCCCTTTGGGAGGCTAGGGGGCGCTGTTCCAACTCTTGGCAGCCGCTTGTCCTTTCTAGACAAGTCAGAGATGGTTGCCTGTCTAGTGGGAAGTTTCCCAAGCAGGTTTGAATTGAACAGACTTGAGGATGCCATGTTTGTAGGAACAGGGACAGGAAATTTCTGTTTTCAGACTTGGAACTCCCAGTGGGCAGTGCCATTTATGGGCACCAAAGCCCAGGCTGCAGTGTGAGGTCAGATTCTGGAGGGCAGCCTATATGGGGTGGGACCAGTGAGTGCTGCATTGTCTGTTTCTGGGTCACTTGGCCTGTGGACATCCTGTTGGGTGTGGGTGAGGCTGGATGTTGGAATCCTGTCGCTCTTCCTGCCTGTGTTTACCATCTTTCCAATTGACTGCTGTTGAGGAGGGTTCACTTTATATGGGGATGTTGCCCTTGGGAGTCCCTCATGCCACTGCCTCTTACAGTGCCAGGGTTCCAGTGAGGGCAAAACCCCTCATGTCTCTGATGCCCCTCCTCTCACAGGCATGGCAGGACCTAGGCCAGTGGTGCTGAGTGGGCCGTCAGGGGCAGGGAAGAGCACCCTGCTCAAGAAGTTGCTCCAGGAACATGACAGCATCTTTGGCTTCAGTGTGTCCCGTGAGTGCCTCAGGACCCCGAAGGGCAAGGAACTCAGAGGCTATCCCAGTATTGGACTACACCTAGAGTTCCCAAATGCACACACCCAGCCTAGGAGGTGTTCTCCTTAACCCCGTTACCCTCTCCCTTCCCAGGGCCTCCATCTAGAGTAAGCATCTTGGCCCCAGTGACCTCTTGAGATCTGGTCTGAGCTTTCCACTGGCTGTGAGCACTCCCTGCTGCTGTACAGCCAGAGGACTGAGCAGGCCTGCAAGGGGAGACCCCGGGTAGGGTGGAACGGTTGGACTTCCATCCCTTCAGTGTGTGATAGGTCTTTTTCCTAGATACTACAAGGACCCCACGACCTGGTGAGGAAAATGGCAAAGGTGAGCTGGCCTGCTAACCCAAGGGTCTCAAGAATGAGCTGGGGCGGGGGGGGAGAAGGGGGAGGAGTGTGGGGATTTGCTCTGTGCCTTGGCTGTAACAGAGCTCGGTCCCAGCAGGAGAGCATCTTTTGCCTTTGGGTTGGTGGTTTGATTAGAGTCTGCACCATCAGAGTGCGGGCTGGACCTTCTGCCTGCCTGGTATATGGCAGGGGTATACCCCTTTCCTGTGGAACCTATCGAGGACAGCCATAGCAGTCTTGTGTAGGATGGAGAGAGGGGCCAGTCCAGGCAGGTCTGGGCTTTGGGTATCCTCTGAAAAGCCTTCTTCCTCCCCAGATTACTACTTTGTGACCAGGGAGATGATGCAGCGTGATATCGCAGCAGGGGACTTCATCGAGCATGCTGAGTTCTCGGGGAACCTGTACGGGACAAGGTGGGCTGAGTTTGGTGTGGGCCTGGGGTCATGGATCAGGGTAATCCCAGAATTGTGGCAGAAGGAAGCTCTCCAGCCTGTCTTCTCTGTCATATGATACCCTTTCACTCTCCTGCCTGGGCTGGGATGGCTTGCTTTCCCCCTAGTCTCTGAGCTTAGTTAGTAGGCTCCAGGGAACAGGCAGGCCCAGTCATGTCCCAGGCTCATCTGTCCTCAAGCCATCCTGTGTGACAGGAGCCACGTGAGATAACCTCACATAGGAGAGGTAGGCAGTGATGGGTAGCTCGGGCCTGACCAAAAGCCCAAACTTTTTTGGCTTTTGGCTGCAGGACAGGTACAAAGAGCTGTGCTGTGAGATGGCCTGACAGAGCCAAGGGTGTGCTTGGATATTCTGGGAAATACAGAGGATGCTGGGTTCACGTGAGCCTCTGCTCTACCTAGGCCAGGCCCAGCATGGGCCTTGGGGAGGAAGGGACTGAGCCTTAAGAGGCTACCAAAGTTCAAGGTTTTGCAGCCAATGCATGTATTCCTGAGGATGGCCAGCAGGCAAGAACTCATGTGGGCTTAAGGGCCAGGGTCTTCCCTTGGTCCCACCGAACATCTGCTCACTGCCCTTCCCTGCTCCCAGCAAGGCGGCTGTTCGGGCTGTGCAGGCCATGAACCGCATCTGCGTGCTAGACGTCGACCTACAGGGTGTTCGCAGCATCAAGAAGACTGATCTGCATCCCATCTACATCTCTGTGCAGCCCCCCTCGATGGATGTGCTGGTGGGTACCTGGTGTGGGAGACCTGCAGGGCAGGCCCTGAGACCTGGAGAATACTGACCCAATAAAGGCCTGCATTTCAGGAGCAACGACTGCGGCTGCGCAACACTGAGACCGAGGAGAGTTTGGCAAAACGGCTGGCAGCTGCCCGGGCTGACATGGAGAGCAGTGAGTGCAGTCAGACCACTTACACCTTTCTGAGCGTGTGGCCAGGCCATTCACCAGGAGACAGGGAGAACCAGGGGCAGAGGTGGAGGAGTTGCGGACCTCTCTGCAGAGCCTTGGAGGGCCACGTTTCTCTTCCGACTTGAGAGTGTTGTGGGCATCTTTCTGCAGCTGTGCTCTTGCTTCTGGGCCTGAGCTCGGCCCACATGCAGACACTGTTTTTGAGACCTTTTGCTGTTACCCTATGTGCATATGGCAGCCTGCCTGTCACAGGCAGTGCCAGTTCTCAGGAGAGGCCTGGGGAGGTGCAGTGGTCCATACTCTAGTACTCAGAACCTGATGGGAGCAAGCCCCCGCTGAGGTTCTGTAGAGGAGGGGAAGGAGGAGTTCCATCCAGCCCGGCCATCCTTCTACGGTGGCAGGCAAGAGTAGCTATAGCCAGGTAGCAGGTGGTTGCAGTGGTGTAGGCACAGAACGGGCCAACTCCCATGTGTTCCTGACTCCTGTCTTGTCCCGTCCCCAGGCAAGGAACCTGGCTTGTTTGACCTGGTGATCATCAATGACGACTTGGATAAAGCCTATGCAACATTGAAGCAGGCACTCTCTGAGGTGGGCCCCTCCCCCCGTCCTGTCTTGGAGCAGTCCCCTGCACAAGCTGTCCCATGAGTCCAGCACACCCTGCTGAGGCCGGGGCTCACCCCGTTGTGGACTCTGAGCAGCTGAGGCTCTGAGTACAGGCGCAAAGTCCAAGAGTCCCTGGGGGCCAGGGGAGGGTGTGAGACCAGCCCTCCCTGGTTCCCTGCCTCTCCTGACTTTCTGTTTTGCTTCTTCTTTGGCAGGAAATCAAGAAAGCTCAGGGAACTGGCCATGCCTGAGGGCCTGCTTCCTTCCACGGAGTGATGCCTGTGCCCCAAATATGCTTGGGTTTTGAGGTGGGGTGATCTTGGCCAGGGCGCCAAGGACTTGTAATAGGCTTCCGCTGTGGAGTAGGAGGAGCTGCCCCTTGTCTGGCCACACGGTGGCTCTTCACCCTGTACTGACTTGCTGAGGCTAAAGGACTACGATATGTACCCACACCTATCCTCCCTGGGCTGTCCCTGTCCATATCCCTGTCCCTCCTGCTGGAGCAGGACTGACATTCTAATAAAGTAACTATTGGGTTAGAGTGTCACAGCCTTCCACACTGGGCTATGACCCTTGGCTGCCCACCCCTACCTGGTCAGCCCATAGGAAAGCTGCCATGGGGGTTCTGCATAGGTGTCTGGTGGCCCCTGTTGCTGCTCATATCCAGGGTCCACCGGTCATCAGAATGCTAACTAGGGTTGATTGTGATCACTTCTTCCCCTAGGAGCCAGTCAACTGGGACAACCAGCATGGTTGGAATGGGGCTCAGCCCCGGAGAACTTGGTACTGCTGCTTTTTTGAGCTGTTTCTGAGCTATTTGGGGACTCAGAGTGGCAGGCACCACTGGCCAGGATGGAAAGTGCCCAGCCACAGGGGAAGAGCATGAAGAGTCATAAAGCTGGCCTGGAACCTATGGGTGCTGTGTGCTCCTGTCCTTGTGTAGAGCCAGCCAAGCCCCAAGGAAGGGCCAGTGAGCCATCTGGGCTAGTAGAGGGGCAGAGCCTGGGACCTTTGTAGAGGTTCTAGATTCTGAGCTCTAGAGCTTGTAGCGGGGTGCATCATTCCTGAGGGAGAAGTCTAAGTTGAGGGTGGCTGTCCCTCCCCTCCTGCCCAAGATGAGACATTCTGAGTGTCTGAGTCCTGCCGTCCTCCCCTCTTCCTCTGGGCTCTCAGCCCAGGCTGCCTGGCTCCGCCCAAGAGAGCAATCCCTGCAGTGAGGGCAGTGGTTGTTGCCAGCTACCCCCACCCGGTGGTCAGCCACAGCTCTCCCTTGTGCATCTCCAGGTGAGGCCGCTCCTGGGACAGGACTTGGGCAGATTAGGTGGATGTGGGTGTGAAGCGGACAGGCAGGTGCCCAGGCAGAAGTAGCCAGAGAGACCGGGGAGCCCTGGGCTGCCTCCAAAAGTACAGATGTTTCTCAAGAAGGGTGAGCCAGAACTTTCTGGACCTCAAGTGGAGGCTGGGGAAGAGAGGGCCAGGACCTGCCTGGGCCCCCAGCAGGCCTGTCCAGCTCCTCGCTGCTCCACCCCCAGGGACAATCATGGATTCAGACCCTGGGGGGAACAATGGAGCCCTTGAGGGCCCCTCCTCCATCCCCCATTGTGCTTGGTGGCGAGAGGTGGCCCTAGCCCTAGCCCGGCAGTATGCCCTTAGAGAGGACCAGCATCCAGCCGGCAGGTGGAAGGCCTCAGTCAGAGGCTTGCATTTCCAGCCTGGAAAAGGTAGGGAGGGCACCACTGGGGTTGCAGATAGGCAGGGCCTTGGCTGCTCTGTACTCTGATGGCTAATGTGGAGTTTTCCAGGCTCCTGTGTCCTCACTGGTCTTTCAGGTTCTGTGGGGGGTGTCATAGGCAGTGCTACCCTGAGAAACTCACTGGAGCTCTGGCTAGACCTTGTCTCACTGTATTAATGGACCCTTGGGGTGTCCATCAGCTTGGGTCCAGCTGGCTTCTGAGCTCTTTTTGGGTAACTAGACCCATGGTGGGGGGAGATGGGAACTAACTAGTGAGCCCAGGGTGCACTCAGTACCTCTCCCAGCAGCTGAGGCCCCTCAGGCTGTTGTAAGATGGGCCAGTCCACCCCAGCCAGTTACACTCAGTACCTCCCCAGCAGCTGAGACCCCTCAGGCTGTTGTAAGATGGGCCAGTCCACCCCAGCCATTTGTAGTGTGTCCAGGGGGTCAGAATGGGCACCAGGTCCAGTCTACTCAAACTGAACAAACTTCGTTTTCCACTTGCCTGCTGCCAAGCAGACCCTCTCAGCAGCTGGACCTGCATAACTGTTGATGGGTCAGAATGGCCCTGTAACTGGCATAGAAGTTTGTTCTAAGTGTTTCCCCACCTGCCTGCTATGTCCAGGGACTGCAGAGAGGGAGATGTGAGGACAGGGAGCCAAAAGAGGAGGTACTAAGTCCAAAGATGGGGGTGGGGGTCCTGCCCAGGAGGGCCTACTGCCTGCTGGCTGGAGTTGCTGTTGTACTGGGAAGCCTCTATGGACCAGATTGGGAAGAAGTTCTAGAGGGGGGCAGGGGAACCTGGCCCAGGTATGGGAAGGGCTGCTGGATGTGGGAGACTGAGGAGGGACAAGGATCAGGGTGAGTGTAGAATTTCTACAAGGAATTGGGCACAAGTGTGTTCCCTGAGCAATTCCAAAGGAAGGCATGTAGATTCTGGTGGTGCCTACCCAGGCCAACATCTCTGTTTCTGGAATGCACTTTAGCTGAAGGCAGCTCATTACCTGGAGGAGTTATTCAGACTCAGGGTTGTGACTCTCATACCAGGCCGAGGCTGGCCCATCTACTTTTCTGGTCCCTACAGCCAGACATCATCTAGATAGTTCTGCCTGTTTGAGCTCTCAGGAGGGTGGATTGGGTGCCAGTGAGGAAAGGTGGTAGATGAGACCCTACAGGTCATAGTGGGAGGTGGGTAGTTTCTACTGGGTACCCAGAGTTTGAGACCTAGTGTGCCAAGTCCTAATGCTTGTTGACCACAGTAACTCTCTTCACTCCTCACTTGAATCTCCTGATAGTCCTGGAGGGCAGTTGAGGACCTCCCTCAACACACATGTACACACACATACCAAACTAAGTTCCTGGGCATGTGTTTACGACACACTGGGCCACACACCATGCTATCTGCAGAGCTCTGGTCCCCTCAGGGCTGGATGTGTGAATGGACTGATTACAGTATATACTGGAAGAGGCTTTCCAAGGGAGGCAAGGGCTGAATGGGCTATGTATTTTGTGGGGGGCACCCCCTGGGCAAGCTGAAGCACACCATCACCACAACCACAGAACCTAACTCTGGACCAAGATGTAGGAGCTGCTTTGGGGCAGGAGTTCCTTGAATGAAGAACCCCTTCAATAAGCTGTGGATGCTGGAAATGGCGCCAACCTCTGTGGTGGCTGTATCTTTAACATATTTAAATTCACAACAGAATGGATAATGTAGTACAGAAAAGTTTCCAGAGGACCTCATACCCCAGGCCCCATTAACATGAAACATCACCATAATAAACTGCCTCTGTGTTAGCTGAAGGCCACAATCCAGATGTTTCCTACATTCACTTGGCCCCTCCTGACACCAGGGCACCTCTTGAAAGACAGTCTCTTTGTCTTAGCTGCCCATGGCTACTTGAATACCACCCTGGTATTTTGTAGGATGCCCTCGGAAATTGACCTGTGTTTTTTTGTTGTTGTTTTGTTTTTTTTGTTTTTGTTTTGTTTGTTTTTTCTCTTGCTTTGTTGAGGTTCTGTTTTCAGGAAGAATACTGCAAGGGTGATGAGCCATCTTTATGGATGGTATCAACAGGACTTATGTCCATGATGCCCTGAGTCACAGGCTCAGGTGTCACTGCAAAGGTGCAAGTCCCTCTTTCATGCTGTCCTCTGATACGATGTTGCTACCCACATGCAGCCACTGGAGTGGGGGGTATGCTTCCTACTCTGGTGTAGACTCTCTGAGTGGTTGGTGGTTCTCTGCACGAGGCAGGGGATGGTTCTCCTCAGCCTGGCTTTGTGTTGCGGTTGCTGTCAGCCAGGGTATCTGTAGCCAGAGCTGCAGTCTGTAACTCTACTTTGTCTATTGGTTAAATTGTTACAACTTCAGTGTGACTAATCCACATACCAATGTTCATGAGTGTGTAAGCATGTTCTTCCTCTTTGAGCTTTCTCCACGCTCTTGTTTCCCCTACCCAGCCATCTGATCAGCCACTTCCCCGAGGGATTCCCAGTTCCTCTTACTGGACAGGAAGTTAGAAACCAGAGTCCAAGATATGCTCTTTTTTGTTTGTTTGTTTGCTTTTCAAGACAAGGTTTCTCTGTGTAGCTATGTGCCTTTCCTGGATCTTGTTCTGTAGCCCAGGCTGGCCTTGAACTCACAGAGATCCACCTGGCTCTGCCTCCCGAGTGCTGGGACTAAAGGTATGCGCCACCACTGCCTGGCTAGATATGTTCTTTATTTTGTGATTGGGGTTTGAGAAAGAGGTTCAGTGGCCCAGGCTGGTATCAAACTCACCATGTAGCAGAGGATGACCCCGAAACCCTGGTCTTCCTACCTCTACCTCCCAAGCACTAGAATTATAGGCAGCATGAACATGCCCATCTCAGAAAATGCTCTTACTGAAGTATTTCTGCAGTCAGCGCCCTTCAGCGGACACAACATGAGCGCATACACACACACACACACCCCCACAGGTTTCCATGGTGTATCTGTAAGTATTCTCTGTGAGAGCCTGCCTCTACCACACTAAACACAAATGCATCCTGGAGTCTCCAGCACATAGATGGGATCAGAAAATTAACCTTTATAGTGACTGGGAAGCATCTGATAGGCAGACTAGAGTAATGAGTATGCATAGGTGCAGTTCTTTGTGTATATGTGTGTGTGTGTGTGTGTGTGTGTGTGTGTGTGTGTGTGTGTGCTTATAAAACTTGAATGGCCAGGTGATTGTGCTTGTGTTTGTGCAGCCAGAGAAAGGCAGCAGGTGTGGGCTGCAGCACAGCAGAGTGTAGCAGGAGCCCGCTGAGGAATGGGCGGGGCACTCGGTGCAGTAACTAGGTGGAACCCTGATATGTGCCCTAGTCAGAAGTCACTGGAGGAGCTGAGCATGATACATGCCTAAAAAGTGCCAGCACTTGGCAGGTATGGGAGGAGGATGAAGAGTTCAAGGTCATCCTAACTCTTACAAATCAATACATAAGGAGTCTGAAGTCCACTTGTGCCACATGAAACCTTGTCTTTAATAAAAGCCATTGGAGGCAGCAGGGGTAATCTGGTCGGTGTGCATTCTATACCCCAGTGGGCATGGAGTCAGGTTTACTGGGAAGAGTGAAAGAGCTGGGACCTAGAGGGCCAGCGACCACCTGGTCTCAAGTGGTGCATGTGGCAAGTGCAGATGGGTTCAGGGTTTACTGATGGACACAAGATGTTCAGGAGACAGCAACTCAGGCTGGACAGGTCACTTTGGAGGAGAGATGGACATATGGGTCTGACCCTCTGTAGTTTGAGGAGCCTGCTGGTGGGCCAGGGCCAGGGTGGGAAAGAGTTAGAGGCTAGAGGTTCAAGTCTGGAAGTCTCCCTGTATATGGCCTGAGTCCAGGGTCCTGGTTTTTCCATTTCAACTCTACAACCACTGCACTTCTTAGTGCTGTGCTCAAGAGTGAATAGCCATTGCTGTGAATGAATACATTGAGTGACAGGTCCTTCCAAAGCAAAGTCCCATTGTCTGTCCAGGGCCAGAGTCAGCCCACAGCTAAGCTATGGTGTCTCTGTTGTTGCCTGTACATATCTTACAATGAATGACAGGAGTAGGTATACCAGAGAAATGACAAGCTGCCAACCAAGGCTTTACCAGCGATCCAGTTGTTAAATACCACACATGGCTAAGCAGGTCTACTCAGGAACTCCTGGTTCCAGATCTTGCTGGTAAGCCTCGGGCTCTTTTGATTGGGGTCTCAGGTGGGGGCTAAGACTGAAGCTGTGGTGAAGAGAGTTGAATCCACTCCTGAGAAGACACCAGGTGGCCCCACTCTATGCCCATGTCTGAAGCAGAGAAGTAGAAGGGGTGGACCCTGAAGGTGTAACAGCCTGTGAATGTGCATGTGTGGATGTGTTCATTCTTGCTGTGGGAGTATGCATGGGTTCCTTTGTGTGCATGTGTAAGTGATCACGTGTGCCTGAGCTCACTCTTCTTTATGAATGAGCATTTGGATAAGTAAGTTTTGATTTTTTACATGTGTGGTTGAGTTGGTGAATAAGTGTATATGAGTGTTGGTATGTATGAATGTGTGCATGCCAGTATGTGTGTGCACATGTGTATTTATGAATGCACACATCTTTGTGTATACATTTGTATCTGAATGCATGTGCATGCATATGAGTATACACTGTGTCTGTGGATGTACACCTGTGTGCGTATGAAGGTAACTATGTTGTATGTGCATGTTTGCATATATAAGACACAGACACACATACTTTAGTGTGCATGCGTGTATGCACATGAGGGTGTGTGTCTCTGATTGCATACATGTGGTCCCAAGAGGGGATTCACAGATGTGAGGATGTGGGGGCATTTCCTCAGGAACCCCTGCTGTCCTGCTGGCTGCCCCCTCTTCCTGCCCTGAGGGGAGAGGCCCTAGCTACATAAAGAGGCGTGGAGCCACCACTCCTGATGCTGGTCCATACCTGCTGCTGCTACCTCCTAGGCCCTGCCAGGGGGAGGGAGCCTGAAGTGTCAGTGTTGAATGCTTGGGAGACTCCTGCCCTAAACCTTCCCAGGAGCAGGTACTAACTCTGTGGTAGCTGTGAGGAGTAAGGGCGGGCATCAGGGAACCACAGAGCCCTTCTCTGATACATGTCTGTTCTAGGCTGAGTTGGTCTAGATGTTGCCATCTCTGAGGCTCACAGGTGCCCGAGTGTGGCTGTGTATCAGTCTGTAGCCTCACCAGACATGGTCCTGCCTGGACAGATCTGGGACTGGCCAGGGGATTGGGACCTGGGGCTGGATAAAGAGCCCTAGATGGTCTCTGAGCGGTGGGAGGGGTAGCTGACAGGCTAAGTGCTGCAGGACTAGCCAAGGGCTTGGGGAGAATGAGGGTCCTTTATGGAAGGGACTTCCAGAGCTGCTTGCAGGGTGTGGAAGGAGAAAAGCTGGGGTTGCTGGAGGGTTAGAAGCATAGGGGAGGGCTGGGGGCCAAAAGGTATGTATGGTTTGGGGCTGGGGAATGATGGAGCTTCGGGACTATGGGGGACTGTTCTGACTACAAGGGGTGGGAAGCAGCAGCAGAGGTTGTGAAGGCCTGAGTGGCTGGGAGGCCTGGGGTAAGTCCTAGGAGAGTGGCATCCAATCTGGGGCTGAGCTGGACTGGCGCTGCCCTGTTCTCTCCCTCTGCCAATAAAGGCAGCACGCAGGCTCTAAGGCTCTATGGGCCTGGGACAGAGGTGCATTTCCCACAAGTTGGAGCTTTCTTGGGGAGCTTTGGGAGAGAGAAGAGAGGAAAGGTGGGAGCAGGGGTCAGTGGGAGATGCTCTGTCCCTATCCTTAACACATAGGATGAGGATGCAGATGAGGAAGACCTTTTCTGCAAAGTAGTGAGCTCAAGGTCACTTGGGGTGTGTAAGCAGAACACAATTGCTGGACAAGCCTGCAGGCACCTCAACTCTGGGCCCCAGCAGTTCCTAGTTGTCACCTGCTGACCACCAGTCATACATGCCTGTAGGTCCCACCTGCTCGCTCCCATGACCAACATGAGCTGGAGCTTCCTGACGCGGCTGCTGGAGGAGATCCACAATCATTCCACCTTCGTGGGCAAAGTGTGGCTCACTGTGCTAGTGGTCTTCCGAATTGTGCTAACGGCTGTGGGTGGCGAGTCCATCTATTCGGATGAGCAATCCAAGTTCACCTGCAACACGCGGCAGCCGGGCTGTGACAATGTCTGCTATGACGCCTTCGCGCCCTTGTCGCACGTGCGCTTTTGGGTCTTTCAAATCGTGGTCATCTCCACGCCTTCTGTCATGTACCTGGGCTATGCAGTCCACCGCCTGGCGCGCGCCTCGGAGCAGGAACGCAGACGCGCCCTCCGTCGTCGCCCCGGCCCCCGGCGCGTGCCCCGGGCGCAGCTGCCACCGCCGCCTCCTGGCTGGCCGGACACCACGGATCTGGGTGAGGCGGAGCCCATACTGGCGCTGGAGGAGGAGGAGGACGAGGAGCCGGGGGCGCCCGAGGGCCCCGGGGAAGACACGGAGGAGGAGCGCGCAGAGGATGTAGCTGCCAAGGGGGGCGGAGGTGATGGCAAAACGGTGATCACTCCTGGCCCGGCCGGGCAGCACGACGGGCGACGGCGCATCCAGAGGGAGGGCCTGATGCGCGTGTACGTGGCTCAGCTGGTGGTAAGGGCGGCCTTCGAGGTGGCCTTTCTGGTGGGCCAGTACTTGCTGTACGGCTTCGAGGTGCCACCTTTCTTTGCCTGTAGCCGCCAGCCTTGCCCGCACGTGGTGGACTGCTTCGTGTCGCGGCCAACCGAGAAGACGGTCTTCCTGCTGGTCATGTATGTGGTTAGCTGCCTATGCCTGTTGCTCAACCTCTGTGAGATGGCGCACCTGGGTCTTGGCAGCGCGCAGGACGCTGTACGCGGCCGTCGGGGAGCCTCAGCGCCGGGTCCTGGCCCAGCGCCGCGCCCGCCGCCCTGCGCTTTCCCATCCGCCGCCGCCGCCGGGCTGGCTTGCCCTCCCGAATACAGCCTGGTGGTGCGCGCGGCTGAGCGGGCGCGTGCGCACGACCAGAACTTGGCTAACCTGGCCCTGCAGGCACTGCGCGATGGGGCGGCGGCGGCAGCGGTGGTCGCGGATCGGGACAGCCCGCCATGCTCAGGGCTCAATGCAGCCTCTCGGGGGGCACCCAGGGCGGGTGGCCCAGCTTCCGGAACCGGTAGCGCCACGTCGGGGGGCACCGTTGGGGAGCAGGGCCGGCCGGGAGCTCAGGAACCGCTGGCCACTAAGCCCAGGGCTGGCTCTGAGAAGGGCAGCACAGGCAGTAGGGACGGCAAGGCCACGGTGTGGATCTGAGGGCACTGGGGAGAGAGCTCAGGGAGGGTCTGGCTTGAGGGGTCAATGGAAACCTTTCTGTCCTCAACCGGTGACCGCTGACAGACCCCCTAAGGGCTTTTAGAAGAGGAAGCTGAAGACCCTTAAGAAGCGCTGGCTCAGGTATCTCCCTGCAGGATGGGAAGGGGAGTCACCAGGGTCTTGTCTGTGGCCCCTGGGGAGGGGGAAGGGGGCAGAGCTGTGTCCCAGGAACTGACTGCCCCTCCAGGCTGTTAAGCAGATGACCCCTCAGTCATCCGCTGGGTCTACCAGTCCTTCCTTTTAGGCTCTCCTGCAGCTTCCTCGTAGGATGGAGGTGTCTGGCATGAACCTTTTGGGGACTGTGCTTACCCTCACTGAAGGAGCATATAGGTTCCTCTACAGCCCCCTCAGCCTTTACAGAGCCAGGGAACTCCCAGGTCCGGGACAAGCGATAGCCTTGGTCTACTCCCAGCTCTTGGCTCCCTGCTTGAGGCAACTGAAGGAGGCCGGGGCAGAGTATAGCCTCCACTCCCTGAGCTGAGGTAGCCTGGCATGGGCCGTTTCTAGGACATCCTGGGAGTTCTGTCATGCCTTGCTGCTTAGATCCATAAGGCTGTGGTCCAGGGCTGTGGTTTTGACTATGATGGAAGATTAGAGCTCTGGGGAGCCTGTCCCCATCTTTTGTGCCCTTCTCCCTGTTTTAAAGCCAACTTCCGGAACAAATGAAGAAAATAAAACTAACTTTTTGTTTACACCCAAGTGTGTATGTGTGCTTCTATGTCTGAGCCCACATTGCACACTGGTTACACTGTGTGTGTAACCATGTGTTGTGGGTCTGTGTCTGAGCATTCAGAAATGTATTCACTGCAGTCCATTGCGGGGAGACAGCTTAACTGCAGGGAGGCTGGGAGAGGAGACCCCTCCTCAGGGACAGGCTTGGGAATTAAGCTGGAGACCAAACCCTGGAGGTCATCAGACCTATGATGGTGCCACTTGGTGCCAGGCAGCATGCCAGGGCTGGGTGGTAGGGCTTGGCACACAGATGTCAGAAACAAAGAACAGTCAGGCAGAAGGTCAGTCTGCAGTTCAGGGGACAGAGGCAGTCCATCTTGGGCTGGAGGTGTGTAGTGCTGGCCAGGACAGTGGTGTTGACTTTGGGGAGATGAGGGAGGAGGGCAGAGGATAGGGAAACACAAGCCACTCCTAGCCGGGAGCAATCTCAGAGCAGACTCCAGCTGCCTCCTGTGATGACCAGGACCACGCTGCACTTCCCAGCTGCACATCCCTTCCTGGAGTCCCGGAGCCAGGCTCAGCCCAGCCTCAGTCTGACCTCAGCATGATTGCAGTCAGATAGAGCAGGCTGAGTCCCTTTCCTTCTGGAGCCCACACACCTGGTCCCAAGCCTCAAGAGGGCCCTTACTCCAGCTGAGCCCCACTTCAAGTGAACCCCACCTTATTGTGAACCTAGTCCTCAGCTGAGTCTTAGCTCCTGGTGCATCTGGCATCCAGGAGAACGGGTTTCAGGAAGCTTTGGCTATCTAGGCTGAGCCTCAGCTGAACCTCAGCTCCAGGTAAGCTTCGGCTCCAGGCTGAGTGAGCTTCATCCCTAGGAGATCACAGAAGAGCATGCTGGGAGTGGAGCTTCAGGAAGGAAGGTAAATCCAGCCCAAAGCAACGTCTCTCCAAGTGGGGTCTAGTGGGGTCCAATGGAGTCCAGCTGACGGCGTCTCTGCTAAGAAGGCATCCCTGTTACAAGGCATTGTGAATTTGGGGCTGTGTTGTTGGGGTGTCATCATAGAGTGGGGGCAGGGACTCTGTGCTGGGGGAAGGGTGTAGAGTCAAATATGCTCGTTAACAGACTGCAGCTCTTACCCGTTTGTTCTAATGAGGTCTTCACCTGATTGGACAAGGCCTCCCCAGCTTTCCCTGGTCTACTGATTCAAATGCCATTTATCTCACAGAGAAACTCTCCCAGACATACCCAAGACATCATTTTAATGAGTCATCCCTAACTGACACTGGTAACTGTATAGAGTCTGATAACTGGGTAGGTGTCTACAGTGTGTAACAGTCAGAGCAGGCTAATGGTATGTCTGTTGCTGAAGATCCATCATTTTATAATGTCTTTTGATATTGGAGCCTTCAGACTTGTCTTTGCTACTCTTTATTTTTATTTTTTTAAAAAGTATTTAACTTATTTATTTTATGTGCATTGGTGTGAGGGTATCAGATCCCCTGGAACCTGAGTTAAAGACAGTTGTGAGCTGCCAGGTGGGTGCTGGGAATTGAACTGGGTCCTCTGAAAGAGCAGCCAGTGCTCTTTTTTTTCCCCCTCGAGACAGGGTTTCTCTGTGTGGTTTTGGTGCCTGTCCTGGATCTCGCTCTGTAGACCAGGCTGGCCTCGAACTCACAGAGATCCGCCTGGCTCTGCCTCCCGAGTGCTGGGATTCAAGGCGTGCGCCACCCACCACCCGGCGGCAGCTAGTGCTCTTAACCACTGACCCATCTCTCCAGCCCCCCTCTGCTACTTTTTAAAGGGAGTATGTGAACTACTGTAAATTACAACGTACTAGTTGGCCAGGTATCTAGGCCCTGTGGTCCAGCCGGGTGAAAGAGATAGAGTAAGGCAGTTTCCTTTTTAGACAGAGGAGGACAAGAGGCCCTGAGATTAAAAAAAAAAAAAAAAAAAAAAAAACCTTTACAGACTGGCAGAGCCAGTTTCTCGGTGAGCTCTATGCAGAGGCCTCGAGGTTCACAAGGAGACATTTGCAGAGTAGCAGGTTTACCAAGGATGTGGAGACGGTGAATGCAGAAGCTGGATCCAGAAAACAAACAAACAAACAAACAAACAAAAAACCCAATTGAAATTAGTTAAAAGCTGAAAACTTAGCTCTAAAGCCCTCCTTCACATGAATACTGGACTGAGCCTTGTGAGCACAGTGCCTCTGTAACCAGCCTCCTTCCCTGTTAAGTGTAGCTTAGGAGCTGTGTTTTCAAAGATGGCTCTTGCTCTCCTTACTTCCTGTTCTTCCTTTCCTTGAATCTTCCCGGTGGGCTTTTCCTGAGTCCTCACTCCTTTGCCTTATCCTCCACCCAAAAAAGTTCCCACACCCATTTAATTCTGCTGAACAGAAACCTCTCCATGCAGTCCCTCGTTTACATATAGGCCTGGGCCAACCAGACTCAAGTATTGGGTATGAAAATAGCCCAGCTAAGTCCAGGTCAACTGGAAACTCACTTTTGAGCTCCGTTCCTTATACGGAGCTGCTTCTCTACCTCAATAAAGCTCTGCTTGTCCTTCTGCTGTCCCTGAGGCTATTTATTTTAGATCAGTTTTGAGACAATGAACCTGGGAGCCACTAGCTCAGAATGACTTAGGTGGCCATTGAATTTCTGGAGCCCCAGTTCCCTGGGCCAAGCCCACTCAAGCCAAGAAATAGGCTTTGTCACATTCAAAGACTCCCATAACACTAGCAGACACATAGAGCTCCCATTGCGGAGAGTCTGGAGGGAGCTTCTGTTTAATCAGCCAGATAGAGAACGCAGTATGCAGCGTGTAACTGCAGCTCCTGTGAGTTCTGTTTCTCTGGAGACTCCTGGCTAGGAGCTGGGCCCCAAAGTGCACAAAGCTCAATTTTGCAGGTGGGTCAGTTTGCTCTACCTCCCATTATGATTGCTCCATAATGGGTACCTTGTATATAGAGTTGTGGTCTCCCACAGGCATGGGTGCTGCAAGCCAAGGACCAGAGTTACCGTAGGGCTGGCCACTCCTGAGACCCCTCTTCTTGGCTTATAAACATCATCTTCTCACTGTGTCCTCACAGTGCCTGGATTAGGGCCACTCTGGTGACCTCATTGACCTTAAGCACATCTTCAGTGGGTGAAACTTTTTGAGACAGGGTTTCACTGTAGCTCAGGCTACCCTCAAACTCCTGAACCTCCTGCCTCCATCTCCCAATGTGTACCACCACACCCAGTTCCTTGATAATTTCTTTTCTTTTTCAAGACAAGGTTTCTCCCTCTGTAGACCAGGCTGGCCTCGAACTCATAGAGATCCGACTGCCTCTGCATCCCGAGTGTTGGATTAAAGGCCACTACCGCCTTGCCCTTAATAATTTTTGAGGCTCTGTCTCCAAATGCAAACACATTCTGAGTTCACGGAGTTTAGGATGTCAACATACAATTTTCTCCATCTCAAGAGGTACTTGCCCAGCTGAAGGTTCTGTGTCGATGGAGGGAGAGACCCTCGACAGTGATGACTTAGGTACTGTTCCACCCTCACAGTCAGAGTGTCCCTGGCTGTCCCTGGACTGTGCTCGCTAAGTCCCAACCTCCATGCCATCTACCAGTCCTACCTCTAAGACCAGCTCCTTGACAATGTGGACATCATCACAGTCCCGTGTGTGACCCCAGTCCCCTGTGTGACCCCAGGTAGAGAGGACAGCAACAAACTAAAGGATTGAGTCTGTGCAAGTCCAGGCTGGTGAAACAATGAGTTTATTAGAGTTATTTTAGGAACATGGGTAACTCCATAGGCAGCTATATTGCCATGAAGTCCCCTGGGCAATTTATGGACATCAACACCACTGGGAGAACCTACATGCAGTATGGATGGCTCATGATAAAGCTGCACCAGTGGGGAGCCCCCTGGGTGACTGGCAAGTAGCTACATGATTAAAGAGTCTTCTCGAATTCCCCAGGATCCTTCCACCTCCTTATAACCTTGGGAAAGGATGGACCCAGTGAAGAGCTCTTGAAAACCCTGTGAGCCCCAAGAGCCTCTAGGCCCCACCCATGAGGGAATCTTAATGGCTTGGTCTCATGGGGGTCCCGAGTGAGTGGGTGATGACTGTTGCTCAGGTTCAAGACAGCATTGTCATGTCCTACTTGGGAGAAACAGCTCAACAACACACGCGTGAGCCCTGAGCCCCAGGCTGGGCTGTGGCCTCTCACTGTTTGGTAAAATCTAAGATACTCAACTCTCTTTCATTTCCCAAGGCTGAAGTCACCCAACCACTAACCTAGCATGTATTAGTAGCCACTTAGCTTCATGCCTCAGTTTCTCCATTTCCCTGGGATAAGCACAGGCTCCACTGGACACTCCTGCCCAAACCCACCCTCATCCTCTCCGCTCCCTACCTTCTGACCTCTGAGCAGCCCTGTGGCCTGGCTGGAGGGCCCACCCTTACCCCACACTGTATGGCGGCCGTGCCTTGCTGGCGCAGGATCAATTGGGAGCTGCCTCTGTCTCATGGCCATCCGTTTCCACAGCCTTAGCCAACTGGCTGAGGCTCATGAGAGTTCGTGGAGGGCCAGGGCGGAGAGGGGGCATGTTCAGAGACACCCCCAGAATAGGGCAGCTCACTTCTTCCTCTGGGAAGGGAGGAAGCCTAAGGAGAGAAAAACAGGAAACTACCTCCATCCTGGGAAGTGGGACCTGGGACCCCACCTGGCTGATTTTCCAGCTCTCCCACCCCTCCTGATGGCGGCAGGACCTGGTCCTAAGAGAGATGTTGGTGATGGCATCAGTTGTAGTTGAGCTCTGAGGACCTGATAGGCCCCTCAGTTCCCTGGAGCTTTCAGGGGCCAGTCCATCGTCCCCTCCTCATGGAAGTGGGGCAGCAGGCAGTCCACATGCCAGTCTTGTGGAGGTTACTGAGCATGGACCTAACATTTTGAGGTCCAGAAAGTTCCCCGGACAGAGGCTGCAGCCATCACCAACACACTTCAGCAGACAAACTCCATTTAGTTTCA